CGACTTTTGGGGGTTCAGACATGGCAACGAGGGACTATTTGGGATTGGTGACCAAGACTTGGTGTTAACGACATTCCCATCTTCTTCCCTCCTTTTGTCTGATCCTTATCTCTTCGTCTGTGTATGTCTGGACCTGGCGCTCTCTTCTTGTGTTCAGCGCCAGGCTCCTTCACACTGAGTGATGACACAATGCATGTGTAGTCCGAGTTCAAACATTGGTTGGGCTAGTCTAGCCCTCTGCTTCGCTACTTGATGCCTACGTGAACGAGGTCAGTCCTAGTCAGGTCAGTCTTTGTATCAAGTCTTCCCTGCGCTCTTCATCATCTTTATGTATAAGTGAGAATGTATATTGCTGGTCGAGATTCTCGTAACCGCATTGTCTATTCAGTCCTTTTCATCACATTGCAGATTCTCGGTTTATTGCATACATTGCATATCTGTGCATGTAATAGTTGGTATCGGAGCTTTTGCACATGAATCAGGACTATCTGATCTGACACGTGTGCGGGGATCAAAAAGCTAGTTAGTCTTTTCTGTTGATTAGGACGTACTAGTTAGACCCCAAAATCACGATCTTGACCTTACTACAAAAAAAAAAATCGAAATTTTTCTTTTCTCGGATTTTATTTTCTCGCTGTTCTGCTGAGGAAAATCGCTATATCGCAACATCTGAAATTCCTATTTTCGTTTTTTTTCTGAAAATTCGAAATTTCGTTGTTAAAAAAATCCGAAATATATTTCTTTTTGAAAATTTCGATTTTCTGTTGCATTTTCCCGTACTTAGAACTTCGGAATATCTTCTTTTCTGAAATTTGTTTTTCTAAAAACGGTACGGGAAATACCTCCTGCACATATTATTTTTTTCAAACTGCGAATATTCCTATCGGAATAAATCCGAATATTTGTCATTTCGGTTCGGACTTTTTCCGCAGTTGTTAGATTCTGTCAGTTGGTTCTATCAATCAATTGCAGTCTAAAGTAGATTTTTTTTTCGCTTTTAGAGATCATTTCGTACTTCGAGGGAGATTGGGAGACCTACCGAACTTGCAAAATTCGGGATTTTTATTTTGTTTAGTTTCTCGAATTTTTTTTTGCAAAGTTCAAACTTTTCTGGTTTGATTAGTGACTCCTTATCTAAGTGTGAGTTGGGCGATTATCCCACCCACCCTTCCCCACCTACGTTGTTGCCATCCCTCGCCTTGCCATTGCTGCTTGTCTCCGGGTACCCTTGTGACGACATTGGTAAGTTGCCACGTCAGCAGGCCACATCAGCAGACC